GCAGGGTGGTGTGTCGCCTTACCTGGGAAGCACAAACAATATATTATATAACATATTATATAATTTATACTACATAATAATTATTATATATTAACAATATATTATATATATTATATAATATTATATATATATATATATTTGGGTTGGAGTGCCTTGTTCCTCATGGCTTCCTTTGACTAGGGGAGGGAGTTTCCCAACTCTTTGTGCTTCCCAGGTAAGGCGACACACCACCCTGCTTCAGCTCACCCTCCCTGGGCTGCACCCACTGTCTAACCAGTCCCAATGAGATAAGCCGGGTACTTCAGCTGGAAATGCAGACATCACCCACCTTCGGCATTGATCTTGCTGGGAGCCACAGACTAGAGCTTTTCCTATTTGGTCATCTTGCCAGCCACTGATATCCCATGTTCTTAGATTGAAGGAATTAATATTGTCAAAATGTCCATACCATCCAAAGTAATCTATGGATTCAGTGCAATTCCTATTAAAATGCCAATGTTATTTTTCACAGAAATATAAGACAGAATTATAAAATTCATACGGAACCACCAAGTACCCAGAATAGCCAATGCAAACTTGAGAAACCTTATTTCATTAACAGGTCTATTATATAGTTATCACAGTCTTGCCTAAGACTTGTTATTTATATTGCAAGGTTTTATCTAGCTGTTCAGCTAGAAAGAATGAATGTTAAGTGTTAACATGAGGAAGATAGTGCGGCGATTCCTTAAGGACCTAGAAATAGAAATTCCATTTGACCCAGCAATCCCATTACTGGGTATATATCCAAAGGACTATAAATCGTTCTACTATAGGGACACATGCACACGAATGTTCATTGCAGCACTGTTTACAATAGCAAAGACCTGGAACCAACCCAAATGCCCATTGATGATAGACTGGATAGGGAAAATGTGGCACATATACACCATGGAATATTATGCAGCCATCAAAAACTATGAGTTTGTGTCCTTTGTAGGGACATGGATGAACCTGGAAACCATCATTCTCAGCAAACTGACACAAGAGCAGAAAATCAAACACTGCGTGGTCTCACTCATAGGTGGGTGTTGAACAATGAGAACACATGAACACAGGGAGGGGAGCACTACACACTGAAGTCTGTTGGGGGGAAATGGGGGATAGACAGTGGGGGATGAGGAGTTGGGGAGCAATAGCATGGGGAGAAATGCCAGATATAGGGGAATGGGAGGAAGACAGCAGATCACGCTGCCATGTGTGTACCTATGCAACAATCTTGCATGTTCTTCAAATATACCCCAAAACCTAAAATGCAATAAAAAAAAAGAGAGAAAGAAAAAATAAAGTGTTAACATCATAGTGGTATGTTATATTAATGAACAGTATCATATTTTATTTGAAAACTTAGTTATTATGACTGCATAAAGATCAAGATCACTTAGGAAGAAAACTATGATATAACATTACACTATTGAGCATCAGAGTCTTTGAATTTAAATAATATTTTTACATTATCTTTTCTATTTGAAAATGCTCCTGCTAAAGTATGGAGTTTTCTCTCCAGATTTCCTCCATCAGCAGGACTTACATGTGCTTTGTTTAGAGACCTGACAAGTTGTACTAGAGCACATACTCCAACTGTGCCTCTCTGGCCTAGCAACGTGCAGTCTCAGATGACTTTTTATGACTAGGGTACAGGTTTCAACCTTAGAATCTTTAGGAACAATCGACAGCTCTTGAAAACAGGAGACATACATAAGGGCAGAGCTGAAGGAAACTGCTTGCATTTAGTTTAAATGGTGCCAAACCTTGCTATCATTTGTGGGTCGCTGAGTTTTTATCTTTTTCACAGGTGCTTCTGAGTACCAGTGACAGATAATTTGTAATAGCCTTAACATTTTAACGATGCATGAAAAAAGGAAATATTTACTTTTGCATTCAGTAATTTAAAGTACATTCAGCTCTTTAAAAGAACAGAGGAGAAACTTAAAGTTATTGGAAATAGAGGAAAGTTATGACAATCTTCTATTTTAACAACTTATAATGGAAGAGGGAGATAATATAGAAGATAGTGCATGAGAAAGCTGAATATGGAATAATAATAGAAATTATAGGGGTTAAGAAGATTGTTTATAATTTATTCTGTTTGTCAGAGTAAGATACGTTTGAGAACACACAGAGTAGAACAGTTCATTCATACAAACACTGTATATCACATAATGTATTATTTTTGAATGTCAGGCATGCTGGTGACCCTTGCAAACTCCATTTTTGACTTCTTTTTTTCATTTTTATTTATAGCCAAAATAACAATTAGAGGCCATGTTCATTAGATGTGCAATTCCCAGCTCTGACTGTATTGATAGCAGACATTAGATGGAGCATCTTCTAGACACATTTGTGAGTTAAACTTAATTTGTAGTTGAGAGACCAATTAAGGGACTTGACAGACAACGAAGTCATTTTTACAATTTATGAAACCTGATTTCTTTGTCCCAGTTTAGGATAAATTGATTCTCCATTGATGTTCCTTTATATCTATCTCCTAATAAAAGACTTCTTTCGATTAATGAAGTTCTTTAAGCAACCATTAGTTATCACTTTAAAAAGTTAAACACATTGGCTTACAAGAGAAAGGAAATCTATTAAAACCATACATTTGGTTTTCTCTAATTTTTAGAAGGCCACATTCTGTCAGTCAAAAGTGTTCCTAAAATAGAATGGGTTTGGTCGAGGTTCTGCTACTCTTTCTGCACAGAAAGCCAATGACTGAGATGACAAGTATTGCCAAGGAAGAAGTCTTTAACTGGGTGCTGCAGCCAAGGAGATGGGAGCTCAGTCTCAAATCCCTCTCCTTGACTGTCTAAAATTAAGTTTTTATATAGCAGGGAAGAAATGTGACAATGTGTTAGAAGACAGAAACTAGAGAAGGGTAAGAAAGCAATCACGATGAATAAGGGTCTGGCATCTCATTGTCTGGATGCCCTGATCTGGTGAGTTTCAGTTCTTTGATTTTTTTTTTTTTTTAAGATGCCTGAACATCATTTCCTGAGGAAGGAGTGCAGATAAAATAAATGTAAGTTTCAAGCTTTAAGACCAGAAAGATCAATATCTATGTTTATCCCAAAACAACTGTCTATGGGACTATTGAGTCACTTTCAAGAGAATGAATATTTGATGCTTTTGGAGGGAAAATTGACTTATTCAGAATACTATTTCCTAGAATATAGAAGAGATGTGTTATTCAACTAAAGAATAGTTTCTTTGGTGAAGGGAAATTGATTTTGCTTTATTTTTTATTTTTACTTTAAGTTCCAAGATATAAGTGCAGAACATGCAGGTTTGTTACTATATGCGTGCCATGGTGGTTTGCTGCACCTATCGGCCCATTCATCTAGGTTTTAAGCCCCACATGCATGAGATATTTGTCCTGATGCTCTCCCTTTCCTTGCTCCCCACCTCGTGACTGGCCCCAGTGTGTGTTCTCCTTTCTGTGTCCATGTGTTCTCATTGTTCAACTCCCATGTATAAGTAAGAACATGTGATCATGTGGTTTTTGGTTTTCTTTTCCTGCGTTAATTTGCTAAGGATGAAGGCTTCCAGCTTCATTCAAGGAGAGATGTTGGAAGGGATGTTTTGGTGTCATTCTTTTCTCCCCCTTTTTTTGTCTGTTACCAGTGTATAGTTATTGGTGGGGGTGGGGATGGTTTGAACTAGCTGTGTGACTTAGAATGCTATAAGACAGGGGTTTTCAAACCCTAGGCCATGGACCGGTACCTATCCATGGCTTATTAGGAACCATCCTGCCTGCCAGCAGGAGATGAGCGGTGGCAAGCGAGCATTCCGGCCTCAACTTCACCTCCTGTCAGATCAGCAGCCTCATTAGATTCTCACAGGAGTTTGAACCCTATTCTCAACTGCTCATTCAAGGAATCTAGATTGTGTACTCCTTATCCGAAATCTTACTAATGTCTGATTATCTGAGGTGAAACAGTTTCATCCTGAAACCATTATCCACCCACCCACTCCCACCCTCCAGCCATGGAAAATTGTCTTCTACAAAACCGGTCCCTGGTGCCAAAAAGTTTGGGGACCACTGTTGTAGGAGAAGGAGACAAACAGAAATATTTCCTTGTTTCCAACTGAGCATTCAACCTTTCCAGAGAGCTTACAAAGTAGAAAAGAGGTAGAACCTCCTAGCATCATCACATGAGCACACATTGTAAATTTAAGAGTACTTGATTCTGCTATCTCTATACAGATTAATATTTAACTTTTTAGTAACTGTATTAGCAGGAACAACTTAGTTGTACCACAAATCTCTTAAATTAATATTGCTTGTTATAATTTAAAGAACATCTTTATGTTCTCTTTTTTCATTAATACAGCTGAAAGGAAATGCTACTCTGATTTTAGTGGTGAGAAATTTATACTCAGAGATTTAACCTTCTCACCCATCCAATAAAGGGTAATGCCAGAACTTGAACAAGGTCTTCTGAATGCAATCCATCTGCTTTTCCTTCACATCTGGTTCTACAGAGTGAAATGCAGTTTTGAGTAGCACAGTGAATTGAAAAGCGAGCCTTCAAATATGAACTGATTTGTCAAAATGAACTCTTCACTGTAATAGAAAATCTTCACATTTATTTTTCAAAATCTGATTACAGAACATAGTAGGTTTTTTTTTTTTTCCCCTGGGGAGTGGTTTTAGGATAGAAGGTTAAGTTTTCTTTATATTTTCTTCTGTGCTGTTTTAATTTTTTTTTTCAACAGGTTCACATCGTTAAGTATTTATATTGTCTCCTTCTGCAGTATAAACAGTAAAATAACAATAGGAATATCTTCGATTTGTAAATAGTCTTTTTCTCTCTCAAAATACCACCATATTTGTTATTTTTTCTTTATTTTGTTTTCCTGGCTCACATTTAAAGCAATGAGTCACAAGCAAATAAACAGCGTTGCCCAAGGTCTCACGGCTAGTTTGTGTACAGCACAAATCTCAGGTTCTTAATTTTAGGCTAGAGCTGTTTGGACAGCAAAAGTTATTTATTTATTTTTCTTTTAAATATCCTCTCTTTTAGTCTTAGCTTAATTTTTCAGAGACTAATAAGACTTTATAAGAATGTATTTCAGGTATACTTAACCATTTATCATTACATGTTATGAAATAACCTGATGACATGAAAAGTGTGTGTGTAGCTGTTAAGAAGTTTTATTTTCAACTCCAGAAGACCTTACCAATTTGGAAAGGTCTAATTCACCATGCCACATTGAAATATTGCAATAAAACATTGTGATTTTTCACACGATATTGTTCTAAATCTAAAAATGGGTGACTTAATTTAATCCTACTTTGTACATTCAAATGCAACATATATGTATAACATGAAATTATTAAAAGCTGCTGTTGGTAGAAATCTATGCAGCTTAGAATTTTAAAAAGGCATGTCTTAATTTCTCTTAGAAAGTCTTAAATCTTCAGTTTCAGCAATGAACTTTCACATCCTAATTGAAATATAAACAGAAAAGATGTGTGTTTTCTTTCCCAGCTCCTTTCCATTTGCATGATTATAGATTCTGGCAGACACAAAATGTTTAAGTATTCAGTGACACTTCTTTTAATTAAAACACTATAAAGTATGAGAGTATAATACGAGACCTCCTATTATTACCCAAAGGAATGTAGTTGGTATAAAAAAATAGTTGGTTAAAAAGTGGTTACTTCAGAACAGGTAGCTTAATTATATGAGCATTTACTTGACTCTAGAGAATACTTTGCAAGGCCAAGGGCTAAATTTACAAGTATAAACACAGGTCACAGCAACTTTCCCTGTACCAATTTACACCATGAAATTAGTATCCAAACATGTGTTTGCTCACTTCCTGTGGATTACTTGGGAAATAGTGTCTTGTTAGATTTTTTTTTTAATGTCGTAATTGTTTTCAAAAGTAGCATCACATTAGTAAAATTGAAGAATTGTTTAGAATTGACTAAGCCTCAAGGTAGTGAAGATGATCAAAGAAGGATCATCGTAGGCTCGACATGGTGACTCACACCAGTAATCCCAACACTTTAGGAGTTGGGAAGTCGGAGGATCACCTGAGCCCAGGAGTTTAGACCAGCCTGGGAAAGAAGGGAGACCCCTTCCTACAAAAAATAAAAAAAATTACCTGGGCTTGGTGGCATGCTCCTGTGTCCCAAATACTCGGGAGCCTGAAGTGGGAGGATCACTTGAGCTCAAGTGGTTGAGGCTGCAGTGAGCAGTGATCGTGCCATTGTACTCTAGCCTGGGTGACAAGAGTTGCCCTTGTCTCAAAAGAAAAAAAAAATGGAAAAAACAAAGAAAAAGAGATCATCATGTTTGGCAGCATGGCTTGGTGGAGAATGCAGCCTAGAATCCTGATTTTGCCAGTTCCCGTTATGTGACATAGGATAATGTATTGAATCTCACTAAGGCTCAACTGCCTCATTTGTAAAACAGGTATAATAATATCTCTCTTACAAGGCTTTAATGAAAATTAGCAATAAGATAAAGTTCATATTGTAGCACCTAATAGTGCAGCCCCTCATAGGCACTGAATAAAGTTAGTTCTGATTATTCTGCTTTTCAAAAACATCAGATGCAATGAAATAGGATGCAACAGGAAAATACTCAGGTTCCACATATAAAAATTAAGATATAGTGATACCTACCTTACTGAGATGTGATATGGTAAGCACTTAACACAATGTTGGAGCTCATAAGCATCCAATGATTGTTACTTTCAGCATTTCAATGAATTGTAAAGACCAAATGCAAATGAAGTTGAAAGGCATTGTCAACCATAGTGTTATGCAGATACTACTTACTACTAATATAACTTAAAAATACATTGAAATTTTAATAAATGTGTTCCCTTAGGAAAATGGCTAAGAAAAAATGCACGATTGCCTGCTCTTTACTTATTTTCATTATTTGAGAAAGCATTACAGGAACATTAAGACAAGATTTGTGGCTCAAGTAAGGAAAGAAAGCTTTCTTTTCTTTTGATTTTGCACTTGGGGAATTTTTCTCGATCTTTTTCAAAAGGAGGAGAGAAATCATTTATGTGTACCTGGGGTCCTGATTATTACAAAAAAAGAAGGAACTGAACAACTTTGCATACTTTAGTAAAACAAAGTAATTCAATTAAGCTTATTCAGGGCATCTTAGCGTTTTAGCAAAGTTGAAAAGGACGCTTGACTCTTGTTAAGGGGAGCTCTGTAGATATTTCTGTCTGGGGCAATATGTTACTCAGTTTTCAGCCTGATAATAAGCTCTAAACCAGGGAATTGTATAACTTGCATAGACAATGAATCCAGTCTGGAAGATAAATTGTTCACTGAGGTGGCTGAATTTCTGATGTAAATGGCCATATGATCGTGAGAGCTTTATCTCTAATAAAAACATACCTGTTTGTTCGTAAAAACAGTCACCTTATCCTTAATGAGCAATTTGACTTTTAGGCTTAACACATTAGTCTCTTAAGTGACAAATTTGTGCCTGTGCTAACAACTAGTTGGCAGAATTCTGACAGTGAACAGAAGCTGTCAGACGAACCCATAATATTTCTTCCAGTAGCTAATCTGTTCAATTTTAAGCATTGAAAGCTTAGGAAAAACATGGAGAGAACTTGTTTTATGGTTTCTGGGATAATTTTTATATTGCTTGATAAACTCTAAAGAAGCTAGTATCTACATGTAAGATATACTTTGCAAATAAAACTACCTGAAATGGTGGTTGCCAGCATTTGAGACTTGGGAAATTGGGGAGGTGTTTGTCAAAGGACATAAAATTTTAGTTAGATTTAAAAAAAGTAAGTTCAAGAACTCTATTGTGCATCACGGTGACTATAGTTAATATATTATGCTTGAAAATTGCTGGTGACAGATTTTAAGTGTTCCCATCACAGAGAAAACGATAAGTATGTGAGCTAATGTATGTTAAATAGCTTTATTCAGCCATTTCACAATGTATACATACAGAAAAATCATATTGTACACCATAAGTATATACAATTTTTTTTTTTTTGAGACGTAGTCTCACTCTCCCACCCAGACTGGAGTGCAGTGGCGTGATCTCGGCTCACTACAACATCTGCCTCCCGGGTTCAAGTGATTCTCCAGTCTCAGCCTCCTGAGCAGCTGGGATTACAGGCACCTACCACCACGCCTGGCTAATTTTTGTAGTTTTAGCAGAGATGAGGTTTCACAATGTTGGTCAGGCTGGTCTTGAATTCCTGAACTCAGGTGATCCACCTGCCTTGGCTTCCCAAAATGCTGGGATTACAGGCATGAGCCACCGCACCCAGCCTACAACTTTTACTTGTCAACTAAAAAATAAATTTAAGAACAGAAAAAATAAAATTAGCAGGTATTTTGCAAAGCTTTTATATTGGATTTATTTCACATTTGTATCAGTTCTTTATTCTCAATTTTACAGTGGGAGAAAACTTTTTATAAACCTACAAAAAAAGGAATTTTTTCTATAGTAGGAGCAAAGGTTTAAGAATGTTAAAATCGAAATGGATGACTGATTAATTGTAGATGAGTCTCAGCCAGTTATCCATGATTTATTTATTTTTATTAATTGTAGATCAATCTCACCCTTACCTATCCATGATTTATTTAGATATTTATATATTAATTATCTTGAGAAATATCTAAAAGTTCTTGTTGAAGAAAAATCATCAATTCTGTATTAAGTGACAATGAGTGCAAAGTATAGAGACTATTAGAAACTGATCACCTTTGTGGTGTGTCATAAGTGGAATTAGGAGTGCCAGTGGTGTGGTTGTGACCTCTGCAAGTGGTCAGGGTTTGCTCATTGAAAAGGTGGAATATGGAGCCCACATTAAATGTGGTAAGGGATTTCATCAAGCTAATACCCAAGGGATTAATTAAGCTTTATATGAAAACATTACAGGTGGTAAGAGATTTCTTCGAGCAAATACCCAGGGGAATAATTTTCCTGGGAGAGAGAATAATTCAGCGTTATATGAAAACATTACAGGTATTTTCAAGGAATCGTAAAGTGTTCAGTGTGGCTAATGCAGCTTGAACTAGGGGGCAGTCATAGGACAGGACATGACAGGGAAGATGGCAGTGGCAAGGGAGACATTTTGAAAGGCCTTATAAGAAGGTACTATTAAGGACAAGGGCCTAATTCAGAGTAAAACAGGGAGCCATGGCAGGTTTTTGCCTAGAGGCATGAAATTATTTTACTTGGTTTTGTTTGTTTGTTTTGTTTTGTTTTCTGAGGTAGAGTCTCACTCTGTGGCCCAGGTTTGGGTGTAGTGGGGCCATCTTCGCTCACTGCGACCTCCACCCCCCGGGTTCAATTGATTCTACTGTCTCAGCCTCCCAAATAGCTGGGATTACAGACACTCACCATCATGCCTGGCTAATTTTTGTATTTTTATTAGAGACGGGGTTTCAGCATGTTGCCCAGGCTGGTCTCGAACTCCTAAACTCAGGTGATCCGCCTGCCTCGGCCTCCCAAAGTGCTGGGATTACAGGCGTGAGCCACCATGCCAGGACTTTGACTTGAGTTTTAATAGGATCACTCTGGCTGCTGTGCTGTGAATAGTACATATGGGGTAATGATGCAAACAGGGACCTATTGTAGTACTCCTCAGGAGAGAATGATGGCTTGCACAAGGATGGAAGCAATGAAGGTGGTGAAAAGTGATCAGATTCTATATTTATTAGGAACACCTAAGATGATGTCTTAATAGACCAAAATGTGAAATGTGAGAAAAATAGAGATGACACCAAGATTCTTGGCTTTGGCAACTGAAAGAATAGTTACTGTCAACTGAGATTGCTAAGAATACACATAGATCAGGAGTTCAGCTTTAGACTTCTTAATCTTAAGATGTCAATTAGACACCTATGTGGAGATGCTGAGTGGGCAGGTGGATATAAGAAGTTGGATTTGGGAGAGTGGTCTTGTCTGAAGGTATAAACTTGGTAGTTGACAACATACAGTTGTTATTTAAAGACATGAGACTGGTTATCACCAAAGAAATGAGTGTGTAGATACAAAAGGGAAGAAACTTTAGAGAACGTCAACTTTTGGAGATCTAGGAGAAGGGGAGAAACTAGCCAAGGTGACTCAGGAATGGCTGTAAAAGTAAGAGGAAAACCTGAATGTGTGCCATCCAGGGAGTCAGGTGAAGAAAGCCATCAAGGAGGAGGAAGGGATCAACTGGGTTAAATGCTGCTGATAGCATCAAGTAAGATGAGGAAGAAACTGATTATTGATAAGATAGTTTACTGACTTGTGAGAAGCCACATCAATATCCCTATGAAAGAAGATACTTTGATGCTATTAATAATAGACAACTTAAGACTGGGGGTCACAATCTTATGGCCCACTGCCCACATGTAGACAGAGATGAGCTTTAAGAGGCAGTGCTTAGAAAAAGATAATAGAATGTGAAGGCTATTAGGAGATACATCCTCTCCTATTAGCCATAGACCCCATCATGTCATATTATTTTATATTTGAGGGCCTTCACATATTTTATTTTCTGTTTGTTTTTGTTTTTGAGACTGGGTCTCACTCTGTCACCCAGGCTGTAGTGCAGTGGCGTGATCAGGGTTCACTGCAGCCTCAACCTCCCAGGCTCAAGTAATTCTCCCACCTCAGCCTTCTGAGTAGCTGGGACTAGAGGCATGTACTACCACACCTGGCCCATATTTATGATTCTTGCTTGGCTCCTGAAAGAGCATTGAATTTGTGACCTCTGGTTATTAAGTGTACTTTTGCTTTGGCACAGAAAAAATAAATAAATAAAACAGGTGTACTTTTGATAGTATAGTTATTTTCATTATTATATAGATGTATAAAAGACTTTGATTTCTAGCTCAGGATAATTGAATTTTTCATCTAAATTCTTGTTCCTCTTCAAGGCCAGACATACTGTCTCTGTTCTATAAGGGCATTGAATGATAGACTTTTTGTTAGACAGAAATCTTGGTTTGCTGTTTGGCCTTTCCTAATCTTGCTTCACAAAAGAGAGATCTGAACAGAGAGGTCAAATGACAGAAATCTTGGTTTGCTATTTGGCCTTTCCTAATCTTGCTTCACAAAAGAGAGATCTGAACAGAGAGGTCAAATGTCTTGCACATCAGATGGCTAGCTATGATCTAACCAAGACTCTTAACTTCTCTCTCAGCCCTGAAGATTATGTTGGTCTTCTGATATGAAGTTTCCTGTTCTTTCTTTTATGCTATCTAGCCACTTGTTCAGTTAACTTATTCATTAATCACCTCATGTATGTGAGGCAGTCTATATTTATGCCAGTAATACATGTAAATTGCAGCCATTTTTAAAACCAGGAAATGCACTTAAATTGTGTGTTTAAATTTACCAGCATCACATATGGTGCTTTTTACCACATATAGTAGTTTTTAAGATTATATTTATCCATATTACCTCCGTAATTATTTATGATCAGGTTAGCTGAAGTGGAGAAAAGCCATATTAATGCTCCACTTTGGTTTTGAGATAACTGCTGGTATTCAATCCATTATTCTTATCCATTAGAATTCCTGTTTTGTCCAGAAATGATTCAACCCTTAGAATTAAGTCTCTGTACTTCCTCATTTATGTTTCCCTCTCCAAGTCTAAGTAGACATTATGTCTGCATCGTTTCCTGCCACGCTATGGTTATACATAATATGTCTATTTAGATATAAATTGTAAGAATAAGAGGATTAATTTTATAAAGTTATAAAGTTATAACTGAAAAACTCTTTTAAAAAATAAAAAGAAAATCACTTCTAATTATATAGTCACCTTGACCTCTTGTCATTGCTATAGCATAGTTGTTTATTTTGTTGTTTTTCCCAGGTGCTTAATTCAGCCACTGTCTGCCTTACAAAAATAGGTAACTGTACAAATAAACCAGCTTCTAACTAAGACTAGGTAATTTTCTTTATGTTAGGCCGAAAGTATTTTCAATATGTTAAAGAAAGAAACACCCCAAACCACATTGACTTATAACTGTATCTATGCAGAAATTTTGTTTCAATGGCAGTATATAAGGAGTAGAGATCTCTCTTGCTTTCTCCTTAGCCATGAGTGGATAGAGTCAGTGAGCACATGTTAAGCATTTGCAGTGAATCTCCTGATTTCCTAGCGCTTCAGAAGTAGGAACAGTCAGTCTAACTCACCATTCAAATACACATGGAATTCATCTTCTCCTTTTTCTCATTTATCCATGCCATAATTTATAATGTCATCCCCCTTTCTCCTACATGTGATCTAAAAAACTGACATCTAAACCTAATTCCACCCTGAGTGATACTTGGCCAGCATAGTTTGTTTCTTTTATTAAAAATTTGAATGTAATGCCTGGGGGCATGGTGGGTGTGGTAGGTTCTGCTTTATATATGCATGATTTCTGAGCCCTTCCAAAGCATTTGGGTTTGTAAGCCTTCCTTAGACAGTTGTAATCCAGTCTCCTAATTGTTTTCTTCAAGTTGTAAATCCTCCCTGTCCAACTAACCCTCCACCCTTTCCCCAGATTCAGTAACCTAAGAAAACAGCTCTGATTATATAATCCTCCTTTGGAAATCCTGTTCGCTTCTCTATTGCATGTGGCGTAAGATCCAAACTCTAACATGGCAGATGCGAAGTTTCATCACGTGGTTCCAGTCTACTTTTCCCAGTCCCTTCACTTTCACTTTTTGTTAATATCCTGTCTCCACAACATACACCAAGAGCTACAGCAGAGAGCAAGTTACACCTATTCCCTTTAGGCCGTGTCGTCTTCCGGCTCCCTTTCTTTTGTCTGTGCTTTTCTCTGTCTATACTTACTTTGACTTTCTCCCTTACCTAGAAAATGCTTATTCTTCTACTCAGCCCCAACTCATGTAATAATTCCTTTGTGAAGAGTTTCCTGAGTCTCCGGGGAGGTTGATTGTTTTTCTGGGCTACCAATCACACTTTGCACATCTCTTCATTGTAACACTTACCATAATGTAGTTCAAAAGTTATGTGTCCCTGCTTCACTTTGCTGTACAGGGAGCTCTTTGATAAGCAAGGTTAGATCAAATTCATTTTTGTATTACCAACACCCAGTAGTGTCTTACACATAATAGGTGCACAAGGGATGTTCCTTGAATAGGTGAAAGAGGAATCTCCGTAATTCTCCCTACATATGTTGGGTGGGCAGCTGCTACCCACTTGCTGTCTGTCTGATCCTCAGTCTCTTCCTCTTGTCCTCTCAAACTTCTTTATGGTGTTCCGCTTATTCATTTTACATCTTTACCCTCCAATTTTGGAGATGGTGATAAAGACAGAGGCCAGGACTCAGGGCTCTGTGATTGATACTTGTAGACATCACAGTTTGGTTTGGCGCCAGCATCAGTAACAGTGGCTGCTATCATTTTTCTCAGATTCCAGGATTCTTCCAATATCTCAGGGCATTGCCTAATTCTAGAGCTATCTCTGATGATTTGAGGTACATGGTATGTGTAATTCAGCACTTCGTATCTGCATTTATTTTTCTATATGAGCCTTCCATAAGGACAATTTTTGTCTGTTTAAAATGTAACAATAAATCAAATACATTGCATTTTCTATATACTCAAATGCATTGTAAAACTATTTTCATGACATTTGAGATAAAATTCAAACTGAACATATAGTATACTAATGACATCATGTTAATATGTCTATAACAAACATGAACAGGGTATCAGTTGGGAATAGCTAATCATAATCAAATTCAGTAGGTTTGTTCTTCAGAGTGAGGTTTCACAAATTCTTCTATTTGGTGAGATATGGAATATGAAACTGGCAAAATTAGCCTTCCGGGGCTTAAATTAAACTATAATAATTTGTATTGCTTAAGAATATTAAGGCAACTTAATACTTCTGTTAAAGTGTAAATGCAAGACAAGAAAGAGTAATGGCAGGCTGTTTTACTTTTTATATTGTCTTATTTAATGTATTTCCTCTTCTCCTTCCTGCCAACCCCATTCATATTATATTCTTTTTACTGTAAAAATAGAGCATATAATTTTACAGATAAGAAAACAAAAGGTCAGGGAATCTAAATGGCATGCTCAAAGACATACGACTAGTTAGTAACAGGGTTGGGTCTAAAATTCAGATCCCTTCATTCCCACACCAAGGACCTTAACATTATCGTACGCTGTTCCCCATCATTTGACCTTTTAAAATCTCCAGTGTGTATACTGTTTTATTTACTGCAAAGAAGAGATGCTCTGTTTGTTTATAATGTGATTACAAATTTGTGGAGTTACAGTCATCATAGTTGTTCCTACAAATGATTTAAAAGCAAAATGTTAAAGCATTCCTTATCTTTACTGCCAAAGAAATTATGACCAAATGGTAATTACTGAGTAACAAAACAATCATATAGCAACCAATCCAATTGTTTAATGCTATATCTAAAGACAAACACTTTTAAAAGCAGTGAGTTAATACAATTAACCAACCCAAATGCCCAATGATTATAGACTGGACAGGGAAAATGTGACACATATACACCATGGAATACTATGCAGCCATAAAAAACGATGAGCTTGTGTCCTTTGTAGGGACATGGATGAACCTGGAAACCATCATTCTCAGCAAACAGACACAAGAACAGAAAATCAAACACCACATGTTCTCACTCATAGGCAGGTGTTGAACAATAAGAACACATGGACATAAGGAGGGGAGCATCACACACTGGGATCTGTGGGGGGGAACTAGGGGAGGGACAGCAGGGGATAGGGAGTTGGGGAGGGATAGCATGGGAAGAAATGTCAGATATAGGTGATGAGGAGGAAGGCAGCAAACCTCATTGCCATGTATGTACCTATGCAACAATCCTGCATGTTCTTCACATGTACCTCAATATCTAAAATGCAATAAAATATTTAAAAAACAATTTGACTTATCAAGCTGTAAGTCTCAATAGTCAACAGTTTGAGGATTACATCAAAAACTGGGCAGGCATTGATGAGATTACCAAATGATATCTTATCCTGAAATGCCCTGGATTAAAATTAGCAAGAATGCGCTTGGTGTCTAATTTCTGAGAAGTAAAAACAGCTTTGGCCATTTATCCTAAGTTTAGGACAAAATTCAATTGAATGAAAGAGAGAAGTGGAGTAGAAATTTTAGCATTTTAAAAGCTGACAGCTCTAACCTGAACCAGAGTACTTATGTTATTAAAACGGTCTTGGAATCCTAGGTCAGGCAATTCCATCTTTCTGAACTACCCTCTGCAAACTTCTCCACTAGCAATATCCAGCACTTCTTTCAAAGCAAAGGCTCACGCTGACTCAAAGCAGGAATGTTTCCTTGACCAATCATACTACGTTTTATTGATTGCTCGACAGTATTCACAGGTCTTTCTAGCTCTGTATCTTTTGATGGATGTCTTAGGAAAGTTATTTTAGCAAGTGACAATTTTAAAAAGCTGGAGGGTTTTATCATTTTGTTTTCATTTGGTTTGGTTTTGAGACAGGGTCTTGCCCAATATGGAGTGCTGTGGGACCAGCTCAAGCAATCTTACAAGTAGCTGAGACTACAGGTGCACACCCACTAATTTTCGTTGTTGTTTATGATAGGGACAAGGTCTTACTATGTTGGTCTTGCTGGTCTCCAACTCCTGAGCTCAACAGTCTCCCGCTGCATCCTGCCAAAATTCTGGGATTACAGGCATGGACCACTGTGCCCAGCCCCAAACTGTAGATATATATTTTTTTTTTTTTTTAAAGACCAGGTTTCACCATGTTAGTCAGGCTGGTCTTGAACTCCCAGCCTCAGGTGATCTGCCTTCCTTGACCTCCAAAGTGCTTGGATTACAGGCGTGAGCCACCATGCCTGGCCCAAACTGGAGATTTTTATAGAGCATTTTATGTTGCTTTGATGAAAGACATGCAACACATATCAAATGATAATACTGCATTACTACCTTTTTTATATTTAAAAAGAAGGAAATGAATAGCAGTTGAATTTAGTTAATTTGTTAATTCAGTAAATATCATTGAGTGTCTGCTAGTCTTGAAGTTCTGTGTGAGGTTCTGGATACACGTATATATATAGTGAGCAAGATTTGTTCTCTTTCTTCAAGAAACTCACCGTGTCAATCTTACATTTTGTAAATGTTTAATAGCTAACTCTACGGTGCTGTGACTGACAGGTTACTTGTGATTTTACTTCCCTCCCCATTCAATCATTGAATGGAGAACTGAATAAGGAAAAAATGTAGGAGAACCAAGTTCCATCAAATAGTTCCTATCTTAGCTATGTTTGTAATTATTCAAGTAAAATTTGGCTTGTCCTTGCAGAGATTGTATATTAAACAAAGATTTATAGTTGTGGTTTCCTAAGTGGCCTGGAAGTCTATAATGATGCAGTATCTGATAAAAAAAAAAAATTGTGGCTACCTGATAAGTCCCCCACTGCCTACTGTTGCACAAAATGATTCCTTAGAAAAAAATAATAATTAGGAATCAGAAATTATAAGTTATATTTCTGGATCTACCACAACCTTTTATACTACTGTATTCATCCATTTTCATGCTGCTGATAAAGACATACCTAAGACTGGACAATTGATAAAAGAAAGAGTTTATTGGACTTAAAGTTCCATGTGGCTGGGGAGGCCTCACAATCGTGGTGGAAGGCAAGGAGGAGCAAGTCATGTGTTAGGTGGATGGCAGCAGGCAAAAAGTGAGCTTGTGCAGGGCAATTCCCATTTTTAAAACCATCAGATCTTATGAGACCCATTCACTATCACGACAACAGCACAGGAAAGACCCATCCCCATAATTCAGTCATCCCCCACCTGTTCCCTCTCACAACATGTGGGAATTATGGGAGCTACAAGATGAGATTTGGGGGGGGACACAGAGCTGAACTGTATCGATCACCAATAAAGCCAATTTAATAAAATGAATAATATATATGTACGTGAAAAATACTATATGTTAATCTGTAGACAAAAAGTATCATAGAAAATTGCTCATATTTATAGAAATATATATATGTAGACTGTGTTCTTATTGCATTATTAGCATTTAAAGTTACATTCAAAGTCTTTAATTGAGATTAATCTGGAAAATCATCCCAATTTATTACTGCATACTTCATATGAAAATTACTTTTCAGTTGTTTTACTACAAAATATACAGCCAGGTGTCTATAAGTCAGTGATGTTCTTTAACCTTAGGATTATTATAGTATTATTTTAAAATCAGGGGAAATTTTAAAATAAAGTGAAATCTATGTAGCATGACTGTCCTAATTTTTACTTTACCTTATTAAAACTGCTTTAATAGATTTTTACCCATTAGAATCCTATCACTCTGGAGATTTTCACTTTTTTAATAAATATTCTGCTAGCCTTTAATTTCAATACCTATATATTTATTCATTTTTATTAGTTTAATCTCTTAAAGAATATGTGTTAACTTTTGTCATAATGTTCTTTGCTTCATTTTTAAAACATTATTTTGAAACTGTTTATTTAATTGATTTAATGATATTGTTTTTATCTACCTAATGATGCTTTAAAGTTCCTGGAGTAACACCTGAGCTATTTGTTGTGGCTGTTGACTCTTTTCTATGGCAAATTTTGAGCTCTGAGCTAATCCTCAGAGGTAATTTATCTGTAGCAATCCTCTTCTGCCTGGATTGAACATTCCTCCTAGACGAGTTTTGAGTTTTCCACTGCTAAGGCAACCCAGGCGTATTGCCTGCTGAGGACCACTTTTCACTTTAACATTTTACTTTAGGTGTCCGTAGATCACGTGAGTAATATAAATTCAGACCATAACCTGTTGAAATGAAGATCTGCATTTATAAATTCTCAGGAGACCCTTTTCTTTTTCCCCATCCAGAGACCAGACTAACATAGGCATAGTTCCTTGGAATCTCACTGTTCTGATGGCATTTTAAAAAATCCAACATATGTATGCTTCTTCAAAGTCTTGGCTTTGTTCAGGGAATCTCATTTCCAAATTCCCACTTTAAGTGAACCTAAGACCTTAGCCTTGTGCCTTGTGTCCTTTCCTTGCAATTGAATCACAAGCGCCTTGGCTTGAGGAACTCTAAGTCCTCCCACAACCTGTACACCCACCACCACAAAGTCATCACTAGGGCAGCCCCGATGTCAGGACTTTTTTGTATTGTTTCTTTAAGGATTGCTTTCCTTTTCCTATGATCTAAGTCATACACGTAAAGGGGTGTTGCTATATTTTCCTCTGCAGTTCTATGGATCTTGTAGCAGGAGAGTTTTCTGGTTATCTGTTTTCCCATATGAACAGAAATGGAAATCTACTAGGTTTTACATGCTCAAAGTTTAACTTGTGACATTCAGGAAAAACCATACTCAAAACCTATTTTTCCCCTGGAGGCTTTGCATTCTTCACAGAATATTACCATATTCCAACTGAAATGGAGATTTTGCTGAGGTTTTTGTTTGTTTTGCTTATATCTGGACTTAACTTTTAAATACATCCTTCTTGTCTTCTTTCCTGCCTTCCAAACTCATGGAGTTACCATTTCAGAGGGAAAGGGTATGCTTTATAAAACTAGCAGAAATCCACATCTAGCTTGAAATCTACTTCATAGGAAACTTAAATTAATTCAGAATAAAACTAAGCCAAATGCTAAGTTAAATGCTAGTATGGAAAATTGTCTTTTTAAAATGCATCTTTTTTTAAAGAGCTTGAAATGTCTGGTGGAGATGCATAATTCTTTCACGGAAGGGTTTCATGAAGCACAGATGTTTTTCAGCCTCCCACGGGGATATATACCACCACAGTGAGGACAGCAGATGCCTCTTCCCTCACTTGCATATCTGGCTTCATTCCTCATGAATCTATTTCTTTTAGTGATTAGCTCAGAGAAGCTTATTTCAGCACAGTTAACCTCAGCCCCTTCTTCAAAATAGATTTTACGGAATGAGGTAAGGAAGAAGTAGAACAACTCATTTAAAAATTCTGGCAGTTTCAACTGCCAATTTTTGTGGGATACAATTTTAAATTATGCCCACTAAAATAGTAAATACTAAGAATTTAAAGTAGTTTAGAGCAATAAAGTTAATAAAGATTTAAATTAATTGAATCATAAATGTGCTAACTTTCTATTAAATTATGTATGAATCAACCATTTTAAAACTCATTCTTTATATACGTCATTGATACTATGTTAACATCAAGATGTAGCAACTGAGCCATATTTATGTGTATATAAGTTTCCTATTGCTGCTGTAACAGGGTATCACAAATTGTGGCTGAAAACAGCACAAACCTATCATTTTATATTTCTGTAAGGTTAAAGGCCCAACAGGCATCAGTGGACTAACATCATGGTGGCAAAGTGTTTGTATTTCCTCTGGAGCCTCTAGGGAAGAAGCCATTTCCTTGCCTTTTCTACCTTCCTTGGCTCATGGTCTCTTCCTCTGTCTTTAAAGCGACTGCATTTCTCTCACCCTTCTTCACCTCATGACTCCCTTTGACTACATCTAGGAAATATTTTCTTTTTTTAAGCACTCATGTGATTAGATCGGGCCCACCTGCATAATCCAGGTCCTTGAGTCTCCCCATCTCAAGGACCTTAACCTTAATCACATCCACCAAGGTCGCTTTTGCTATGTGAGACAACATAGAAACAGATTCTGGAATTGGACCTCGGACATCTTTGGGGGCCATCATTCTGTCTTACCATGTTTTATGTAATTAAAACCTTGCTCTCAGCTGTCTAAAAGTTTGCCTGAGCAGATGAATTGCCAATATATTCAATCCAATTTACTCAGTAATATCATCATGATA